CTTACAAGAAGAGCTGCACAAGAAGAGCAACAAATGAAAGCTGCAGAAGAAAAGCAGCAGAAAAGAGCTGCAGAAGAGCAACAAAGGAGAGCTGCACAAGACGAGCAACAGAGAAGAGCTGTACAAAAAGAGCAACAAAGAAGAGCTGCACAAGAAGAGCAACAAAGGAGAGCTGCACAAGAAGAGCAACAAAGGAGAGCTGCACAAGACGAGCAACAAAGAAGAGCTGTGCACGAAGAGCAACTGAGAGTAGCACAAGAAAAACAAAGGGCTGCCGAAGAACTGAAAAGAAGAGCTGCACAAGAAGAGCAACAGAGGAAAACTACACAAGAAAAGCTACAGAGAGCTGCAGAAGAAGAGCTACAGATGAGAGTAGCTCAAAGAGAGCAACAAAGGAGAGCAGTTCAGGAGATTCAACAGAGGAAAGCAGCTTTGATTGAGGAACAACGACAGATTGAGGAGAAGATACTTGCCAATACTGAGGCAGACAATAAAAGAAAACCAAGAGAAGGAGATAAAGTTTTGCATATTTCAGAAGAGGAAAGGATTGAACAGATACAAATGGAAGAGCAAAAAAGACAAAGGCAGAAAAAGGAAGAATGGATGAGAACTCAAACAGGGGAGGCAGAAATGAGAGCTGTAGAAAGAGTAAACATCATAAAGGAAGAAAAGCAAGCCAATGAGAGACCTAAACTTCATGAAAACAGCCAAGAAGCACTGAAAAATGAGATGAGAGTGGAAAAAGAAGGCATGCTAGCTCAAAGAGAGAATAACATCAAGGCTAACAAGAGGGAAGAAGAAAAGGTAACAGCTGACAGTGAGAAGGTGAGAGATAATTGGAGAGAGGAAAAAAGAGTAGCACAGGTGGATGCTCTCCAGTACTATGCCATTACTTCAACAGAATCAGAGACAAAACAAAGAGAAAGGCAACTATGCTCCCCTTCACCCTCCCAACAAAGAAACAATCTATCAGAAAATGAGTCAACTGAGTCCCACGGGTCCCACACGAGATCTTATAGACCCCATGCCCCTGCATCTCCAGCTCCATCTCTGCCCCGATCCAACACTTCCTCACCTGCTCTAGGAGTCAAGCCCTTAATGTTCAGAGTAAAGGACAACACCTTCAGAGGTTCCACTTCCACCAAATCGGTTAAGCCACGATTCTATAAGAGCTTTGGAGACGATGTCCGGGTGGGTTCACCCAGTGACAGGGGATTAGAGAAAAGAGAGGAAGGACAGGAGAAAATAAGACACAGTGCTGGAACTCCTGTCCAGCATCACACAGGTTTAAATAGACTCACTGCTGTCAGTGAATCTTCAACTTTCCAGTCAGCATCTTCACCACAGGATCACTCAGCCCCTATCCCTCATTATAGGCCCTATTCCAGGAGAAGCATTGCTATGGAGGAAGATGACTCACGCTCTCTTATCAGCAATATGTCTGAAGATGTGGAAAGTTTTGCCACCAGTGCAGCAGACCTTGCAGACATACGAGGTCTTTATGACTACGAGAGACCAGAATCAGCATGTAGCTTCAGCAGTGATGTGTCCCGTTCTTTGGGCAAGCCTCCAGCTGTTCCCCCAAAGAGCGAGAAAGCCCTACGGAGGGCTCAAAGGCTAACTACCCGGAGAATGAAGAAAGAGTTGTCCAAAGTTGGCGCAGACAGCCTTTCTGGAGTTGAGAAAGATGTCTCCACTATTCGTTCCTCTTCATCCACTGAGGTACGATCCTCTAATCGCCATGCTATGGCTTCCCCTCATTTTTCCTCACCTGTCTCCCTTGCTAATGCTCCTGTGTCAGGGTCCAGCTTGCCTTCCACCCATACAGAACACCACTCTTTCCACGCTTCCCCTCATGCCACTGGTCCTATTTCTATCCCTCATACTGCCGCCGTTTCCCTCCCTGGTGTGTCTCATTATGCTACTGGCCCTGCTTCCCATACTGCTGCTCCTAAGACTGTTGCTCATGTTCCCTCTTCTCCCACTTTCCACCAAGCCCACCACCCAGCTCCAGTGACACAGTATCATGTAGAGTCAAGCTATCCCCAGGCCTACCCTCTGACCCAGCGCAAGGTGCTGCAAGACCCCGGTTCTGGTCAGTATTTTGTAGTGGACCTGCCTGTTCAAGTGAAAAAGAAGACTTTCTTTGACCCACAGACAGGAAAGTATATCCAACTGAATGTGCGCGAGTCTGGCAAGAGCATCTCACAACCTCAACCCCAGCAAACATGCCCACAGCCTGAGATGCAGATCAAGTCCCAGCAACAGCCCTTCTCCCAGACTTTTCCTGCTGGCAAACCCTTTGTGCTTTATCAAGGGTCCCACGGTTATCTCCAACACTACCAGCCTGCAAGTATCAATTCCCTGCATCCCAACAAGTCGCAGGTTCCTTCAACTCTCCACCAGAACCAGCAGCCTGGACATCAGGCTTTTGAACTGGGACAAAACTCTGAAGGGCATCGCTACAGTCCAGAGAAGACCCCGTACATGGACACGGTTAATGACAAAGACAAAACATATAACACAATTTACAGCACACATGGCTCATATGAGTCGCTCCCAGAGTGTGACACAAACAGCCAGCTTGCAGGAAACTCAGTTTGTGAAAATGATAACTCAGCCCACTCGCAATATAATCCTCGTGATATAATAGCTATGAGTGAACTGGAGGACTTTATGGAGGTGTCTGATTGGTGAGAGTAAAAACTGATATTAAATATTTAATAAAGTAAAGAGTGAATGGATCATAATATACATGATTTTAAGTGGTTGCAAATGACTTTTTCAAGTGAAAATAGTCTCAGAATGTTTTTGGTTTATAGTTTTAATAAGTCTCTATAGCAAACTGTTATATTGTTTCTGCTTTTGGAGATTCGCTGTTGATTTACTTGTTTTACAGAGTTCACCATTCCATTTGACTTTGAATGTGAGAAGCTAAGCTATGCTTCTTGTGTAAACAGTGTCATTAGCACTGCCTGTTCAACCTAACTGCATTTTATTATATATCATACGGTATATCAAAAGTTGTTTGGAAAAACTTTTGCTACTGACAAGCCTGCTTTACCTTTAAGCACAAATTGGAGATTTTGAGATTCAGAAGCATAGTTTTTTAATTCAGCCATGTATGAAGTGAAAAAATGGTGATGTGGCTGTTGCTGTTTTTAAGAATTAATATCATACAGTAGTCTATTTTTATAGCTGAATGTTTGTAAAAATTGTTTGGTTGCTGTGAAACAGTAGCGTGACATGGGCTGAATCAGATAATAATCGATTAATAATTTCTCATCACGGTGTATTTTAAACCTCTTTGTAAAAGTTAGAAATAAACCAAAAGGAAAAGATAAAAAGGTTCATGCAAGAGGCTGATTTTATTTTACAACCATAATATAATGTAATATAATGACATCTTGTTCTGACTTCTGAAATGTACCCTGGGCCTGAGTGATTCAAAATGAAGAGTCTTTTTATGATTGCATAAGACAATTACAATGTGCTATTGTAATGTGCAGTAATATGTCCTGAGAGATAAAGGAAAATAACACTTTGTTGATGGCATTTATTTTGTGTCCTTTTTACTGTATGAAGCAATCCAAATGTTTAAATCTTTTAATATTATACCCACGAGAGTGTGAAAATGTGCCTTCTTTTATTTCCCTTGATCCACACACTCCAATTAAATGTACGGTGCTGTGGTGAGAATGCATGCCTATACTCTCCAGTTTAACATAACCATACAGCTGATCCCCTGAGAAGCAGTAACCTGCTTTGACCACTGTGGGGCAGAGCAGAGTGCTTCATCTGCTGGAGCAAAGACCTGAACTTAAGACCTGGGAAGAGAAAAACCTGAAGGAAACCCTGAACACAAGATTTTGTTAAGAAGTCAAAATCAGAAGTATCATTTTAACACATGATCCTCAATTTATAAAACTTGTACTGTGGCTTAACCTTATATTACAGCTGTCTCTTTTAAAAAAAACAAACAAACAAACAAACAAACAAACCAGTAGATTCCCACAGACTCAGTTCCTCTTAAGAGAACACTACATACGACTAAGGGTTAAATCTGTTGTGTAATTCCATTTGGCTTTGGCAGAGCTCAAAGCGCCAGCAGAAGCCCTGCCTCAGCAGTTTAGCCTGCCCAATAAAGCAGCAGGCTTCATACCACTGGGACAGTCTGACAACCACAGCCAGAGACAAACCCATGCCACTCTGTCCAGCAGCTGGGAGAGGTCCCAGCACAGACACACACACACACACACACACGGGGACAAATGTGCCTCAACATAAATGCATAAACACATGCATACATACACAAAAATATGAACCTCACACAAATAAACATCAGCATTTGGCCTTTACTCCGAGATGCAAGATGAGCATTATTCCTGGTGACTGAGGTGATGGAAATGCATTTTCAGCAGTTTACTGTGTATGCTTCTTAGAACTGCACACAATGTCACACACACGCGTGCACACAAACCACGAGACTTGACCATCACTTTGGAGTTCTGGGGGTTTTGGGCCACGGTCCAGGACACACTCAGAACACAGGAAATGACATTTCCTACGTTTTGCAGGACACACAAGAGAAAGAGAGTGAGAGAGACAGCCACAGGGAGAGGGAGGCAGAGAGTACTGGGAGAGAGTGGGAGTTTCTAAGTGGGAACAGAGCCTTTACTGTTTCATATTACACAGAAAAGAGGAGAAAGAGGAGAAGAGTTAATGGTGGGTAAGGGTTCTGGTGGGTTGTGCAGTCAGGCTCTGTTTTGAATGTAGCTGCTTGTGTAAGTTGCTGTGCAGTTGTCTGGGTTTATGGATTCACTGACTGTGGAAAATGTACTTCTCTGTAGTGATCCTTGTCCTGACTAAGGCTCTGGTCACAGGTAAGTGTGCCTTCTTTACCGCAGCATACAGCAATGAGAAAGTGAGCAAGCAGGCGTAAAAGAGGCAATATGTGTTTGAGTTGTAACTTGAGCTGTCATCACACACCATCGTCAAAGTTTCAGTGCATTATGGACCTTTGGTAAGGAAATAATAGAAAGCATACAACTACAGTTAGCATCTAGAGGTCATCATATCTAAAATAATCACAATTTGCAAGTGCATTTGTTATTGTGTTAATAGTGTGGTGCAGAAAAGTTGTTTAAAAAAAAATGAGAAAAAAAAAACCAACCAGTTGTGGCGTTAGGGTGGTTTGTTGTCTGTGATCAGAGAAAACCTCAGTATAGTTTTTACATATAATTTGTGTCCTAAAAACTGCTGTGAAGCAGACTTACAACTCGTGTTTTATGTCCTATATTTTTTTTTCAGCTGTGCATAATGTTGTTTGAAGTACTTCAGCTGCTTTTGTTGCCACATTAAATAGTGTTAGACAAGCCCCAGAGAGCCTAAGGGAGATTCCCCAACAAACAAGACCAAAAAAAAAAAAAGAAAGAAAAGAAAAGAAAAAATTAAGCAAAAGCAGCATGGAAGACCAGATGGTCCCTGTTATCCTTCCATGTTTCTCCTTGCCTGTTCTGGGTTGTTCCATACCGAGGATGAATGTTTCCCACCTGTAGCTACTCTTTGCCTGTCTGGTCACACATATTGTGTCCAGACCCCTTTGTCTCTGCCCTGGCTCACAGCAGACTAAACCAAGAGCACATCCAAGAAAGTAAAGTCATACTTTAGCTGTTTCTTTCTCAGTGCTTTTACGCTTCCTTGCTAAAAGAGAGTGAATACACACACAATCATGGGAAGATGCACAAATAGAACCAGTGATTGTTTGAAGCTGTGACAGCAGACAAACAAACTTTTAACTCGTTTATTACTAATTTCGAAAGAAGGATTGAGTCATATAAGCGTTCTGTGAGGCTTATGGTTTGATTTAATTTTATTCTGAGACACATTTACCTAGATATCTTACTCGGAAAGTATTACACAGTAACAGAAGCAGACATTTTGGAAAAGGAACATACTGAGTAGATTGAAACTAAATGATATATTTACAAAATCGAATTAAAATGAAAGCTGTATACATTTGTGCATATATAACCTAAAGCGTTTGTGGGTTTTTTTGTCAACAGAGGTATGCCATGCTCTTAATGTGACAGTGACCCCTGGGCCTGTCGTCTTGGCAACAGAGAACGACAACCTGACACTGTCCTGTCTGGTATCTCAAAGGAAGAGGACCACGAATGTCCTGATTCTTCACTGGTTCTTCTCTCCTCTAACCGCTCCTACTCCTGTGCCTCCTGCTTCCCTTCCACCCAACTCTCCTCCCGTACTCGACCACCCGCAGTTTCTGATTGTAAAGATGGGCTTAAGGAGAAGGAAGCTGTATGGGAACTACACCTACCGTTTCCCACAACCAAAGTTTCATCTGCACGAGAAAACGGAGGGAGAGGTGTACCAGTTGCGGATTCTCAGCGTGACTGGGTCGGACCAGGGTTTTTACAGCTGTAAAGTTCAGGAGATCCGCAAACACAGAGACATATGGAGAATCACTTCCAATGGTACCAGCACCATACAGATGACAGGTAAAAAGATGTATTCCCTCACATCTCTGTGCCATATTTCTTAAAATACAGACCCATGGACTTATGAGTTGGATGCTGAGAATTGAGGACTTGAGACTTGTCAATGTTCCTAGTTATTGTTCTGTATTCATATACACATGTAATCATATGTATATGAATACCTTTATTTAAGCTGATGATCCGTTTGTTTATTTGCATATTAAAACTATAAAACTGTTTCAGGAGATAATTAAAAAGAATATTTTCAGACTGCTATTTTTCAAAGAATTCCCTTAGCCCACATTCGTTTTAGTAAAAATGTCGACCAAGTTATCTGGAAATAAAAACAACTAAATTAAGGAAGGGCCACGATTTTTTCCTACTAAGAAACAAAGATTGTGTAGAAATGTGTCCTCTAACTTAAACTTGCAATATTTGCAGACAGTCATGCCTATATGTTTGAGTGCGACCCCAGTCCTCTGGCATTTCCATCTCAAAACAATGAGCTCACACAGCCAAACCACACTTAACAAAATCCCTGCCTGTGTGCGTGTAAGGAGTAAAAGGTAGGGTGTTGTTGAGCTGGCAGG